AGGAGCGTGGAGTCATAACTGTGTCACTGAGCAAATCTCTGTCCCTGGTTTTTCCATCAGTAAAATGAGACTAAACGAACAGCTAACCTCAGAGGATTAATGTGAAGATTAAGTGAAATCATGCTCATGACGTGCAAGGGACCCCCTGCTGTACAGTCAACACGCAGCGAAGGGCAGTTTTCTACACCACTGCGCGCAGCGCTTTCGCTGCCGTGCTCAGTTCAAACTCGGTTTTCTCCCTTTGCTCACCTGGCTCCCTCCCTTGTCTTTCCAAATGTCATTCATCCTTTTAGTCGCAATGTAAGCCCTGTTCCGAGGGGCTTTTCGTGATAATCAGTTATACTTCCTGAAGGGATTCGTAGTGACAGGCCTGAGGGTTACAAGAGTTCCTTAGATGATCCTCTGTCAAAAAAGGTCATGTTATTCCCATTTTATGGATGCAGTAATTGAGGACTGGAGAGGTGATATGAATGTTCCAGGTCCAAGGTCAAGCAGCAACTACCTGACGAGTCAGTGGAACTCCAAAGCCCAAGCCTCACATGGTGGTACATGGGATTCTGAGCCAGGCCAGCCTTAGGGCAAGGACTCGCTCCCTCTGAACTTTATTTTCCTCATTTGTAGACTGAGGAGCATTGGGAAGATTAAATGGTATAATGCACATAAAGCCCCGAGTGCCCAGTATTGTTGAGTAAGATGCTCCAAAAAATCAGACCCCTTTCCATTCCCCTCTCCATCTTTAGGAATGAAGAAGGCATCTAAGCTGACCCCGAAGGGGGAGTTTGGGTGATGATAAATGTTACAGCTCCATTTTCCCTGGAGTCTCCACTGTTCAGCCTGAGGCCTCATCTTCGGAACCAAAACCACGTGGAGACCTGGTGTGCTGTAGGCCTGGTGGCAGCGTTTTGGGGAAGGCTCTGCACTGTGAGACTTTAACTCATATCTCACTTTAATTGGCATGCATTTATTATTATTCTTAGCTCTCTTAAAGACCCTAACCATATAAAGTGATCAAAATATGGCTTTGCTTGCAAAGCATCCGTAGGCTTGTGTGGAGTAACAGATGCATCGATAAATAACCTTAATAGAGTCCACTCGTGGAAACGTGGCCGGGCGGTCGCTCCCACCTGAGAAGGCGAAACAGAGCGATAGAGAGGGGTGACATCTAAGCCGGACCCTGTGGGTCGAGTGTTTACCAAGTAGGGAAGTCCTATTGTCAAAAATGTTGACAGCACTGTGATTTGCTTTGCTCTCCTTTCTTCCCGTAATTCCTTTATTACAGAGAGTTAATGAGGCAGTTGTGATGGGGTCCAATGACCCGAACTGTCATCTACACTCGGCAGGCTGGGAGAAGAGGGGTGCAGGGGGAGGGCGGTTAAGGCAGGAAAATGCTTTGAGGATAATGAATAATGTGCTGATGCCTAACAGCCAACATGAGGCCACATGAAGGGAAGCATCTTTCCTAAGCTGATGGCGACACTACCATCAAGTCTATTTATATAGCTCAGTAAGTAAATACTGCATTAAAAAAGCATTCCCAGGGCTGCCTAATAAATCCACAGCCCAGCTCGAGTTTGGCTAATGTAAGCCGAGAGGAATCCTGGCAGAGGCCTCTGAGAGTTCACCCACTTTGTTTGCAAGTGTGAGATATTAACTAAAGAAAAGCTGCCTTACAGCATCCAGGCTGATGGGAGCTGGCAGCATCTTGCTAGCCATCTGGGACTGGTGAAGACCAATTTCTCCTGAAATCTCTCTCTTTTTGAGTCCAAACCCTCCTCCTCCTCTGCTGAGCTCATTTGCCAGAGTTTCTGACTCCCTGATGGGACCCTCACCATTTGGTCATCGCTTGGGCTTTGCGAGACCTTTTTCCTAGTATTAAAAGTCCTGTGATTTTTTTTGTGTGGCAAGGTAATGGGATTGCAAGACAGGATTGGATTAGCATATAAGGCAAAAAACATTTGATCAAGGAGTTACCCTGCTTTATGCCCATACTCTTTATTAGGAGATCACCTCCCCGAGGGAATTTGCCCCCCATTAATATCACCAGCATTTGGCACAGTGCCCTGAACAGGAGGTGCTCAAAAAGTGCGGATGGCGGTAATTCAAAGGGCTGGAATTGTATAAAAGTTAAGGATTTCTACAGGACTTCTGAGAACTTCTTTGGTTCTGCCAGTTACATTCTGATGGCTGTGCACTGGGGGTTTGGCCTGTTCTAGAAGATCAAGTGAATTCTATTCATTCTTTCAGATGTAAAATTCCATCCCAACAATCTAAAAAAAAATCACTCTTTCTTTGAAGCTTTTCCCAAGCCAACTAGAGAGGATTAGTCTTTAAGTCTTCTACTCATTTAGCACTGAATTTGTACTTTAACAAAGGATTTAGGATCACTGGGCTAGCCTTAGTTATCTGTGTATAAGTCTGCATTGCCCACACTTGATGATAAGGTTTGCAAAGTCAGGGATTCTTGATTACTCACCCCCCACCAGAGGACCAGCCTGATGCCTTCGTCATTGGAGCTGGGTATTAACTGCTTGTTAACGTGAGTTACATGCAGCCAGATGGCCATGCAAAAAGAGGGGTGTAACCAGTCATAGCAAGAGCCTACACAGAATCCCCTTGGTTCCCGGAACATAAGGTGTGGGCTTCTGTGGTTCTTCTGGGCAAGAGGCCCAGAAAATGAGTGGATATTATTGAAATTAGAGATGTGAAAAAGCTGAGTCACTGCACCCATTACTGTTCTTAGAAGATATGTTCCGTGCTCGCTCCTGTCTGCATCACTGCCCCTTTCCAGAGCTCAAGTCACCTCCTCTTTCAGGAAGGGTTCAATGTGTTCTCCAAAGGCAACTGTCTGGTTTAAATTCTGGCTCTGCCATGTACTAGCTGGAGCCTTGAGCAAGTTATTGAGCTTCTCTGTGCCCGAGTTTCCTCACCAAAAGAATGGATATAGAGATAGCCCTGGATTTACAAGGCTGTAGTAGGACTCAGCAGTGTGTGCTCACTGAATGTCGGTCATGATTAGCACCACGATCTCTCTCCTCTCTACACTCCTCTATCATCACACAGTATGGTAGTTAATTTTCTCTAATTTTTAAATATAGTAATGTTACTTGGCCCCCAATCATTTTTTCTAGTGGTCTCACCTATCCAGAACACTCTTGAGAACCAAGAGGCATGTAAATAAACGACAATATCACCAACACTACCATTAAGATAACCGAGCACCCAAATCATGTCCTTGTATTGAAAATGAATGAGCTTTACCCCTAAAATCTCTTACACCCACACTCACAGTGCATGTACGGTTAGAACAGGCTGCATGGTTGGCTTTCCCAGCCACGGCATAAATAAAAGCAGCCCAGGGTCATTGGTAGAGGGGGAGATGGTCCTCCATATGAAATACTAGAGTGTGGTGAACTCACGCCCATCACCAGGAATCTGAGAAGGAAGGCAAGAAAGTGGTAACAAATTTCTGAAAGATTATAATTAGCATAATTTTAAAATTGAACTTATAGAATAGTACCTTCTCAAATAACAGCAGGCAAACAAGAGATGCATGCTCATTTAATAACACGAGGTGTTCCAATGTGGCTAGTGCAATCAAGAAACTAAATTTTAAATTTTACTTAATTTTAATTAGCTTAAATTTAAAAAGCGACATGTGGCTAGTGGCTGCCAAGTTAGGCAGCCCAGCTCCGGAGCTTAGTACGGTGAGTGCAAAGTTCACTTAAACCTTCCATTTTCCAGAATCATCCAGCCGAAGTTGGTTTGAAAAAGGCTCCTGAGATCCCGTTAGATCTCTGATCATTACACAAAGATTTCGTTAACAGGAAACGAACTCTATTTGAACGTCTCTTCTCTGTGCTGGAGGTCTTTTCAAACCTAAATCCAAATCTGGGGGTCAGAACATCTGTTTCTCAGGGCTGGTTTCAGATGGTTGCTTCTTCCACTAATAGGTATGAAACTGGGAGCCACAGAGGAAGCATATCGTTCGATGTTTCAGGCCTTGATTTCTTCCCACGCTAAATCACAGCACGGTGAAATATGCCAGGTGGGCAAAAGGAGGGTTACAGTTGTGAGTAAGCCAAACAGAGTTTATTCTTGTAATATTATTTATTAATTTTTGTATTATTTTCTGTTTGAACAACTGTAACCCTCCTTTTGCCCACCCTATATTTTCTGAAGGGCCCCTTCTGCTCTAACATCCCGGGATTGGGTCAGTCCTTCAGCTCTCTGCCTTTGTTTTCCTGTGTATGAAAAGAGATTAGATTCTTTTGGCCTCCAGAATCAATTAGTTAATGCACCAATTAGTTAAGACCTTCCAAACTTAGAAGTGCTAAGTAGTTCTCTTATCACTTAGAGAGCAAGCAGATCTTTGCTGGATATGACCTAAAACTGCTTTAACTTACTTCTATTATAGTTATGGGTTTTTAAAAAAGCAAGATAATTATTGAATCAAGGGGCCACTCTCTCTGAGCATTCTGTTTATTTTTATTTTCTTTCTTTTTTTTCTTCTTTATTTTATTTTTTTTTCTTTTAGTGTGAGTGTTGTGTTTTGTCTCAGCATTCTGGACCCCGGGCATGACTAGTAGCAGGAGGTGTTGGGAGGCTGATATGGTATCACATCTCCCTCAGGAATCTTGCCTTCCTGGACTGAGTATTTCCAACTGCACGTCCCCTAACAAAGCAGGGATTGTGTGGGCCATGACCTCACGGAACACACAGCACATTGTCGATGGGGAATTACCCAATCTCTGCCTGTGGTGTGTGGAACAGAGTCTGAGATAAGGCCTTCTGTTTTCCCCATGTTCCACCGTCATTAGCCCGCTTGGCCCCCTTCACAGCCCTGATGCAAGAGCCAGGGAGGGCGTATTATCCTCACTGTTGAGACGCAGAGGCGGGAATTTAGACCGGGGCGCTCACTTGCCTCGGATCACACAGAGATGTGGCAGGGCCCAGAACTGAGTCCAGATCCCATCCTCGCCCCTCTGGTGGGTCCCAGCATGTTACTCTCCAGTACTTTCCTGATGACCCTTTCTAAGAGCTGGACTCCTCTTCAGTGCCCTCTGCAGTTCAGATTTTTCCAGTTCGAAAGGTGCAACACCTTGGTGTTTTAAGGAGCATGAACAGTCCATAGCGTGGAATTTCTCTGAATTTGGGATCCGGCCGATGGTGAGTTTTACTTTCTAAAACACAAGCAAGAAAAGAATTAAATGACCAAAGATTATCCTCAGGATTGTTTGTTCTCAGCCTGTCCTCAGTCACACCTTTCAAAGGTGGTTTTGAAGAAAATCCTGTGATGAACTACAGTCTCTGGACAGAGGAAGCCAGGAGGACTTGGATCCTCAGGTGGCAGGTGGATTTTTATTCTCTGGCATCCACTGGCCGGAGCCGTTAAGGCAGATTCTAAATGGCATCAATAGTGCCCAATGGGCCCATTTGTATCAAAAATTTAAAGCCTCTGGATACTAAAGAATTGAAATGAGACCACCAGACAGAACCAGCCCCTGACAAAATGGGGAGAAAATTGAAGTTTGATGTGTGTCCCCTGCAAATTCTAGCATCTCCTCCACCTCCATGTACAATCTCACATTTTCTCCTCTCACTGTCTTTACCCATCTCTACCCAACCTCCCACTTCAGATGCTCAAGGAAGAAGGGTAGACCTGCTTGGTTCAGGTGCTTAAAACAACAGGGCCCTTGGCTGCCCCACTTCTGCTTCCATATCTCCCCTCTTTCAACATTTTTTCCCCTTCCAGAGGCCAGATCTTTGAATTTTAAAAAAGGACTGGATATCCATTTTCACATAAAGGAATAAGTCAGAAATGGTAGGGGTAGGAAAGGAAGGGGATTTTTTTGATCATCTGGATAATCATGTTGATGAGCACCCCAGATTTCTCAGAAGCATCTAATTGTTCCCCCAAGAGAAAGGGGGCAGGCACATTGATCACAGGAGAAATGCTGCCAACCCCCGGTACCCCTCTTGCAGGTGGCTCCACAATCTAGAAAGGCAGTGGTGGTAACTGCAGTCAGTGATGCCCGGGCCAAAATCCTTCTCTCGGCTTCAGAGCCAATGCCTGGATCTTTGGGTCAGAGCATTGTTTGGTGACTTTCCAAAAAGTTCAGAAGATTCTATTGAACACTTGGCCCCAGCGTGGGTCTTTGGCAGAGGAAGTTAGGTACCAGATTGTTGGACTGGGCCCCTGAGAGCTACCTTTTTCCTACTGCACAGATGCCTACCCCAGTCTTCGACACCCAAGCCCAACATCTCCTTCTCCAAGACACCTTTCTGGCCTCCCTGAAATAGATTTACTCCATTCCTCCTTTAAGTTGCCATGACCCTCTGTTCATAACTCAAGGCACACAATGTAACTAGCACATAAGATGCCTAATTTACCCACTAATATGTGAGCTCCTTAAGCTCAGCCTGAGGCCATTTTTGTAGCTCTAAGACCTAGTACAGTAGCCAGCGTACAAACAGTCAATGAGTGAATGAATGAATGAAATGAGGCCTTGCTCTCCCACTAACTAGTTATGTATCTTAGATAACTCACTCATTCTTACTGGTTTCCCATTTGGATAACAGTGGTAGCACAATTTGTCTAACCAGCAAGGTTATTGTGTGATGTGGAAGAGATAAGATACATATAATCATAAACTCTCAGAGCTGGAAGAAATTTTAGAGATCATCCTGTACAACGGTTTGCAGAAATTTTAAGCCAACACATTGCTTCTTCAAGAAGCGCTAACAGGAAAGTTACCACATAAAAAAGATAAATGATACATGTAGATTGCTCTAGTTGATGCCCCTTACTGTCCCCTTCCTCTTCTCTCCTGTCATTTTCAGGGGCCAAGAAGCACAGTTTGAAAACCAACTCTCCCACTTTAGAGAGAAGAAACTGATGCCCAGAGAAGGAGGTATTTCCCAAGGTCGTGTGGCTTATTAGAAAGAAAAATGGACAGGGGAAGAAATGAACAATATGGAGAATGTATGAATAGGCAGAACCATGTCCGAGCACTTAATAGGAACCATTCACTGTTGTAAGCATGTTAGATAGATGATCTCCTTTAATTCACCAATAACTAATATTATCACTATCCCTGGTTTTGCATTAGAGAAAATTGAGGCAAAAAATGGTTTAAAAGACATGGGATGCAAGGCCCGAGCCAATTTGGTTCCAATGCAAGCTCTTTATGCCACATGAGGCTGTGTCTGAGGTCCTGACCAGTTGTTCAGCCTCCCAGCCCAGCGTTCTCTCCAAAATTACCTTATAGAAAAGAATTTCGAAAGGGCCCTAAAATAACCTGTCATTTACATGTATTGTAGGAGGTGTTATTTACACTTCTCAGTCTCTTATTTATACTTGGCGGCTGGGGACTGAAGAGTGTCACCTGTGTTCAGAGTACGGTTCAGACTCCACCTGAGACCTTGGTCTTGTTCCTTCTGGCACTGGCTTGCCCTGGGCAGGGCTCCGGCAGCAGGACTCACCTCCTTCTGGACAGACCGGCTGATAAACAAGGAGACCTCGTCCAGGCTATGGGGCTTCAGGTCATTCAAGGCCAAAATGTGGTCTCCGTGAAAAAATAAGCATCCCAGGCGCGGGGGGCCTTTCCACTCAGCCACACTGCGAGGGGAACAGAGCATCCAACACAGGCCCGAGACCATGCTTGCTGGCAGTTCAGGACACAGATGGGGACACAGATGGTGCCCCTCACTCTAGTCTATCCCATTGTTACTCCCACTAGTTTCTTCAACTATGTTGCACCACATCCAAAGTAGCTGAACTCCCTTTTCTGCCTGGAAAATTCTTCCCTCTTTCACCACTGTGGTAGCCTGACCCTCCTTCCAAAGCCCTCCTACGTCCCACTTCCCTTACTTTAATTCGTCACTCCTCTCCCTTCCCTGGGCTCCTATTACACTGTGTGAGCACCTCATTTATTGTATATTCAAATAAGATGCATTTTCTATTTATTTGTTTATGTGGCTGTCTTTTCCACCAGAAGTATGGGACCACCTTTAAAAAAATTGTTTATAACTCCATAACTCCAAGTAAACAAAAGGTGCTCAATAGGTATTTACTGAAAGTGAGCACATAATGATGACACAGTGACCATCTAATGAACAAATAAACTAATTAATGAATGAGAAATCCCAGGCACAGAGAAGGCCACAGTTTTTGTCACAGTTATTGAGCCTTAGACTGTGGGAAATGTGGAACAAATGCAAGCTTGCGGTTCTTGCCCACTTACAGAACTTAGAAGGCTACTGGTCTGAAACATCTACTTCACATGAAAGGTCTGTCTTCCCTTTTAAAAATGTAATCTTCCAGCAGAATAAATTACAAAGTCTTTAGGAGAATTAGAAGCAAATAAACAGTGATCATTTCAAGAAAATTCTCTGTCACGGGGTCTGCTGTGTCTGTCCCTGACCAACAGGTTTTCAGCTGGTGTCTGGAAGTCTAGACCCTGATAAGTCTTTTCCCTTTAGACCTTCGGTTTTTGTCGGCCTCACGAACTTCATTCATTCACAAACACTCATTGCTCATTGATTGGGATAGTTTCCTTGGACCATACGTATTCCATCCCACTATTCCTCACCTTGAAAAAAATCAGAAATTTGTTCTTTCCTGGTCTTTTGGGTCCTCCTACACCCACCCACCTCCCCGCTGACTCTCTCAAGCAACAATGCCCTTATTCCTGCCCTGATCAAAGACCTGCTACAGCAGCAAAAGAACAGTCCAAGCTCTCCGGGCAGTTTTGCCACCTACAGTGTTTCAAGGTATAAATGTTGTCTTCATATCTCCCCACCCAGTTTATAATCAATAACCCTCAAATCTCCGACCCACCATATGCGTCCCGCGGCTTCTGTGAGACCCAAATAACTGGTGATGTCAAGAGGAGAAAGGAACACATTCAGTCTCTCCACGTGGCTTTCATCAGGAATGTTACTATGAGATAAAACATTTGTAAAAGTCAAATCAGGCAGCTGTCTCTGGCTCTGAACGGTACTTTCTGAGTAAATTCTGGCCTCCTACATATCAGACGGCATTTTCCAGCTAAAGATCATCCAACTTGTTTAGAGAAGAATATGAATTCAGGTTACTGAAAAGTAGCCACTGGTGGCCTTTCTCACCCCTCTTGGGATGTGGTAGTAGATGGGAGACAGTGAGAAGGGAGAAAAAAATGACAAAATTGATTACATAACTGTCTATATCAGGTCAGTCTGCACGTTTCTCCTCTGGGAATGATTCCATAGAAGACACTGAAAAGAGTTAAACCTGAGCACCATCTCATCAAATGCTCTTGGCATCACTTAACTAAACGTCTTCCCCTCCTAGTCTAGAACCAAGCCTCTTATGACTTGCATGGCCATAATTTTAACAGAAAAAAGTGGGTGACATGCTCCCCAGATCAGTGGGATCCAGGACCTGAAAGGCTAGCCAAAGGAGAGTCTTTACAAAATATTTGAAAATGCCACCCACAGCCCAGGGAGCTTTGCTTCCAGCCCGGTTACTCACTGTGCTTGGCCACCAGGTCAGTGACAAGGGGAAGCCGGTCAGATTCTTGGCTGACTTTGAGATTTTGGGGAATTGCTTTAAAATTTGAATTCTGAGTTAAAAAAAAGGAAGCCTGCCTTGTTCTAAGGGCCCACAAAGGTTGAGAAATTAGAACTTTACTTGATTAATATAGACAATTGCACAACAGTTAGTGAGGCCGACCCCTTTTTGTCATTCATGGTCTGGGCTTTCGTTTCTGCAGGTGGAAGGCAAGAATCCCGTCCTGAGCCTTGTTCTTCCAGGTGAGGCCCCCTGTTCAGGGTCTCTGGGCAGGTCTGGGATTCCTCTTTGCTCTCAGCAGACTCATTGGTTGTCTCTTTGAACAAACTAGAGCATAAGAAGTGAACACAAACTCTTTTTTAGCATGTCTACTGACAATTTTCATATTTAAGCACCTAACAGCTGTGGGAGCATTAACAAGATGTTGAAATATGTCTAACCGTCAACATCACAGTCACAGTTAGATCAAATCCAACAAACTTTCCATCTAAAAGTGGATATGGAGTCCAAATAACCCTTTACTTTGGGAGCATTGGGAGACAGAAGTGAGTGTGAGAGATGTAAGTGCAAAACAGAAAGTCACTTCCCCAGGAGACAGAAAAATGTCCCGAGGATGTCATTAATGGTTTTCTGTGGGGGAGAGAAACCAATTCTCACTCTATCTTGTTTTGAGATTACTGAACAATGTGTAGAATTTGGTCTATGGTAATGCTTTTGTATTGGCATCTCACTAGTGATTTTCTATAACAGTACATTAGCTAAAATAAAATTATAAAACAAGGCTGTTTTACTTACCAGGATTTCATTGACATGTAATGATGCTCAAGTCTCTGGGAGACCTGGTCTGGACTAGCGGGTTCAATGGGTTCACCAGATTCACTGGATGCAACAATATTGTCCAACTATAGACAAGAGGAATAAATGTAAGGATGTAAGTCTACTAATAAGCCAGGTATCTTCTTGCCCCTTCCACGATGGCTCTGGGCCCCGAACTAGGAAATGCATCTACTGTTGGATGCACAGTGGTGTTGTTCTGAGGGGGGCTGATCCAGTAAAGCTCTAGGAGACTCAGAGTCCCGTTTTCTTCTCCTGGGTGCCCCATGCTCCTAATGCAAATATTTTATTGGGTTAAACTGCTATTTATTTTTCTGTTTCACTAGCAGGCACTTAATAACATGAATTCTTTTCCCCAACCAGTGCTACTGTGAATTCATGTCACCTGTCTGGGCCAAAGACAGATGCAATGCAGAGCTGGCCTCAGGCTACCATGTTCACAGGGGACCCAAGTTGCTTCAGAAGGCTGTGAAGGGTCTTAGAAACTACTACCCTGGAGGGGCTTAGTTCTGAGCCCCTCAGAACTAAGACAGTCATTTGGGGCAATGGTTGCTTCAAACCCTAAAGGTTTCCTATTGCTTACCTAACAATTTAAGCATCAACCCATAATTGGAAGAGTTCATTCCAGTCAAGCCGGTCTTCCCACTACACCCCTACCAATGGTGCTCTTCTAGTGCCTGTTTTCATGCTGTTTCCTTTTCCAGGCATGCCCTTTTTCTCCTCTGCCTAATGACATGTTCAGGCCTGGCTGAAGTCCCACAGCCCCTCCTGACCACCCTGGCCACTGCCAATTTCTCCCTTCTCAGAATTTCTACTGCACAATTTTGTACTTAATTTTTTTAAATGGTCTTTTAGCTTCTGCTTTTGGGTATATATCCAAAGAAACCCAAAACACTAATTCGAAAGAATATATGCACCCCTATGTTCATTGCAGCATTATTTACAACAGCCAAGATAGGGAAGCAGCCCAAGTGCCCATAAATAGACAAGCAGGTTAAAAAAAGCTGTATACATCATATACACATATATGATGGAATACTACTGGCCATAAAAAAGAATGAAATCTTACCATTTGTGACAGCATGGATAGACCTAGAGGGTATTATGTTAAGTGAAATAAGTCAGACAGAGAAAGACAAATACCATATGATAGAAAGGACTCACAGACACATAGAACAGACTGATGGTTGCCAGATGGGAGGGGGTTGGGGGTCAGGGGGAAAATGGGAAAGGTATTAAGAAGTACACATTGGTAGTTACGGAACAGCCACAGGGATGTGGCTTGCAGCGTGAGCGATCCGGTCAATAATGCCCGGTGGCTATGTGCAGTGCGCGGCGGGTGCTTGAAACACCAGAGGGACCGCTTTGTAAAGTATGTGGCTGTCTGGCCACTATGTTGTACACCTTAAACTAATACAAAATAGTGTTGAATATTAAATAGTAAAGTTCAACACTTTAATTGGAAAATAAAAGGTCTTTTAGCTTAGTTTTATCTGCCTTACTACATTTTGCATCCCATTAAATGTCTAGCCAATGCCAGGCATACAACGAATATTCAGGACAACTGACTGGTTGGTTGGACTGTCATAAAATATTAGTTGCCATCACTGTGTCCCAGAAAAGACTAGCATGAACATATTTTGGTGAAAGAAGGGTCCTGTGGTCCAATGAGCTTGGGAAATGCTGTGTGTTGCATCCCACTTGGACATTTATAATGCATCACTAAAGGCTCTGGGAATTCCGCAGTTCAGAAGCTTGCTTAACTTGCTTTAATTTGGTGTTTCTAGAACTGACTTGGTTCCAGAACACTTCTTTTATGTGAACACGTGCCATCATCTTGTAGAAAACTCCCTGTTTGGAAAACGCTGACCACCCCCCTTTCTCTAACCTTGCCTCCCTACTCCCCATTTCCATTCTCTTCTCTCACCCACCTCAGATAAGGCTTCTGGGTTAGTAGGACTGGAAGATAATTTGGGTTTTGTCACTTCCCATCTCAGAAGCCATCACTGCCTCTGTGCTGACTATAGAATGAAGTCAACTTGGCATTCAAGACCCATCATGGTCTGGCTCATTTTTTTCTGTCACATGTTACTGTGCCATTCACTCACTCGAGGCTATAGCCCAACTGAACTATTCACTATATCCTATCAAATGGGACTTTGTCTCTGAAGCCTCCCTGACTCCTGGGGACAGAGAAAAATCTCTGCTTTTTCTGTTGGTTCCAGAGCTCACTGCCGTGCCTCGTGGGCAGCATTATCAGGTGATAACTGGTGGGGCGCTGAGCTCTCAAGGCAGAGTGATGTAAGTTCCATGCCTAGTAAAGTGCTGTGACCAGCACACAGAAGGCACTCAGCAGGGGCTTCCAATGGATCAGGAGACTAGTTGATACCACCACACAATTTATCACCCAAGGACCTGTGCTCATATTATTGTTTTTGCCCAGAATATAGAAAGGCTTCCAAAGTCAACCCCTCAAGTCCAAGTTTTACCTATCAAGTGAAGCCATATGTCATCTCCTTGGAATTTTCCCAGGTCTTCTGTCTGGAAGTCAGCCCCTCTGCTTCCCACTCCTCATGTACTCTGGGCATTTTATAAACATCTTTCTTCAGCCTGGAGCCCTTTCTGTCTTGTATTGCAGTTGGCTCCCACCCAAGTGTCAACACTGAGCACATCACCTGTGTCTGATTCACCGATTCCGTGTTTCACTGAGCCAGCCTAGTGCCTCAGGAACAGTTCAGGGGCTCAGCAAATATCTGTAGAAGGAATAAATGATTAGTAAATGAAAGGGGTTACCTCTAAAAGAATGCTTCGAGGACTAATATAATGACTCTCTTCTTCTGTGTCTTGAGTGGTCTCTGGCAAGGAGCCATGTGGTAGATGGGCTTGTCTGAGTCCTGGAGAGCTTTTTTCCATTAAATGCTAAATAAAGACAAGAGGACAGAATTAATGCTTTTCTGTTTCTTTGTAAGAGACAGAATTAAACCACATGCTTTCTGGGAAAGGCATAAGAGGTTAATTAGGTTGAGAAGATCAGAGGATCTTCCAAGGTTACATCCAGAATCCCACACAACCTGAAGATGCCTCTTGAGTTTGGGTCACCCTTGATAATATGAAAATATAGGCTCAGCTTTCAGGCTTTTCTCTACCACTGGGGGGACCTGGAACTCAGGACAAGTGGTTCTCTCAGTGGGTGGTATCCTAAGTCACTAAGCTCCGCCGAAGTCCCCCACCCCCACCCCCACCCCCACCTTTTTTCTAGTTTTCACCCAGTGCCATCTGAGAAGGTAATTATTAGCCCAGAGTTAAGACATTGCAACTTTCCTCTTCCTGCTCAACATTTCTCTTTTGTGTTCTGCTCACATCCTCCTATTGTTTTCATAGCAATGCTATTTGGTGATGTTGATCATGTGACAGTAAGAATTATAGGCTCCAAGGTGATCTCGGTTCAACCAATTACTGCCTTCCCTCCCCAGTAGACACAAGATACTCTACTAAAGTAGCTGCTTTGCATGGCAAGAAAATAGTACAATTCAATTCTTCCAAGAACAATGCCTGGGAGCAGGGGGGTTTGAAAAGACTCGGAATGTTCTCTAGGAAGTCCTTGAAGGAAAGTGATTTAACAAACATAGATGCATTGAAGTAGCGTCCATTTATCAAGCTCATGGAGCCAGATCATGCTGAGTTGGGGAGGAAGAAGGGATCTAATTTAATTTCAACAACAACAGCAACAAGAGCAACAATAAGAAATCCCAACAAGGCAGATGGTGTTCTTAGCTGGAGCTGACTGGAAAAAATCACTGGATACATAGTGTGAAAGGAGAGATGACCAATAACATTATCTTTGGGGAGAAGGGATATCATTTGGGGAAAAGCAAGAGGCATTCACTGAAAAGGGTTAATCTTCCCAACCCTGTTTCCTGTCACCTTTCCTACAAACACCAAATGAGGTTTTGGCTTGGTGAGTTTGATAAGCCACAAAGAGCTTTTAAAATAGTTGGAGAGCTTCCAACTAGATAAACACAGGAGGCTCTGCCATATTAAGACGTCTCTTGTACCCAGGGAGAAGGGAAAGTCCATGGTTACATATCTAAGGGACAAAATAGTATTCACGACAGAAAACACTCAACCCATTTATTAACAATATCCAAAGCTGGGAAGAGAGTTGAGACTACAAATACAAATCACTCTCAAGGGACGGATATACTTTTTCTTCAAATGAATTTCATTAGAAATGAAGATGAAACCACACACACACACACACACACACACACACACACACACACAGAAGGAAGACTGATCTGGGTAAATGAAGAAAATTAATAAAAATTCTGATTTTGCCCGAGGAGTACAGATGATATGACAGAAAGTCAAGTGGTGTTTTGGCAATTATTTTATAGAGATAATCTGTGCCCTGTGTGTGAAAGGAAAGGAAAGGTTACCAGCCAGCTTTTTGTGTAGCTGGAGGGATCCTCCCAACATGCCCAGATATTTATTGAGGAGCATCCAAAATGAATGAACCCATTTAGAGGTGGGCTGGGCAAGCAGTAAGGCTCATCTGTGGTGTAGCCAACAGATTAAATACAAGATAAACAGTGCGGCTAAGAATTGTTCTTATGATGGGTTAGGTTTAAGAAAGGTGTCAAATCCACTGGAGAGACGTTTAAAGGGTCAGCTGACTCCCCAGCATGGCATCCCGAGAGAGGTGGGGCAAGTCTGCTTACCATGTCTGGAAGGGTATTTCTTGTTGAGGTGGAGCTGACAGTCCCCAGGGCGCTGGAATAACCAAGAAGAGGGCCGGGGTCTGAAGAGGGCCTCTTGGCACCCAATGAGAGCGTCTCCTGCTCGTGAACAAGGAACACTGGAGTCAGGGCATGAGGGATCTCTTGTCTGGAACGAGGCTGGGCTCCCTGAGTCTGGCCTTTCACCACTGACATCTATACAGCTGGCCAGCGTTCTCTCACTAAGTCATGAGGTGACCTTGTCTCTCTCCTGTTTCCAAATCCTCGAGGACTCTCAGCATGGCCGTCAGAGACGCCCTGAACTGCCCTCAACCTGTCCTGTCAACCCTATGGCTCTCTGCTCCCACTCCAATGTCCTAATAAGTCGAGGCAGCTTGTAGGAACACCTTGCTCTCCCTTCCTCCTTGGCTTCAGCTTTTGTTGGAAACATAGAACAACCTAGAAAACATGTTAAAACAATACCTGGAGACCAAAGGTTCACTTATGAAGATCTGTGTAAATTAGCCAAGGTTCTTAGGAAGTAAACAAAAAACCTGAAAGTCACTAGCCCTTACATTAGAGAGACATCATGTTGAAAATGTGAAATAAAGAAAGAAAATGCCAGAAAGGCATTTTTATAGGAACCAGCCTAGACTTAGTCACCCCAAAGGTAGCTGTCACGTACCTCGGATAACAATGAGGGAAAATGCCGTCGCTTCAGCTGCTATCAAAAACTGCCACAGTTAATTTTCACTCCTCCTACCTCAATAATGAGAATCTGAAGTGTCTCTCTCTATTGCAGCTCCCTTGCAAAACAAGAAAGTATTCTTCCCCATTGTTAATCACAAAACTAACAAGGATGTACATTTTCTCACTTATTTATTCCTCGTGCTAAGGCCAGTTGCTAAGGAGGGGAAAAGAAGCTTCCATTGTGAAAGGAGGGCTGCGCTCAGGCGCCCTGCTCCTTTCTGCGCGCTGGAGTCACCTCTGTACTCCGGCTTGCTGCTTTCATGTCCCGGCAAGACGATGACAGGAACGAGACCCAGTCTTTAATCTTCTCCCTGTTGATAGGAATAAACCTTCAGCTGGCAGGTGGCAACAACAGCGCCCTCGCTCTCTTTGAAACGGAGGATTCTTTTATTAAGGTTTCGAAGGCAGTGGGAGCAGGTGCCAGGGAAATCAGGATTTTTTTCCTAAGGAGCTTAAATGACCCCCTGGCTCCTTGCCTCCTCCACACTCAGGCGCTGGAATTAACCCTCAGGCCCCCTCGGTGCGCAGAGCTCAGAGAAATGGGGGGAAAGTGGGAACTGACCGCGGAAATCACAGGGTCGGGCTTTGCTTTGTGTCCCCGGCGAGCCGGGCACCTGTGGGCGCCTCTGGTGCGCAGCCAGCCGGGTGGGCCTCCCTTGAGGCTGTGTGTGTCCACGAAGGATGTGCCTGGGAAAGGCGATGTAAACCCCATTTTCCCTTCTGTGGACGCTCATGGCGATGTAAAAGAAAGCGTTTTGCCTCTGGGTTGATCTGAAACAGGTCAAGGCTCTTTCTACTCTGGCTTTAGCACTCCCTGCCTGCTCTGCACAGCTTCCTCCCCCAACCTCAGCCTCTCTGTCAAGCAGATAATCACCTATGAAGAATCCAGAGGCACCTCCTTAAACAGGACTCCTTCAGGGATGAGCACAGCCCCTCCCCCCCCAAACACAAGTACGAGCTACATGTGTTAGGGTTGGGGGGGTGCTGAGCTCATCCCTGAAGAAGTGTGTTGGCTTCTTTTACATGGGATGCATCTGGGGCGATGGTGACTGTTTTGGGCTGAATTGTATCCCTCCCCAAAATTCACATATTGGAGTCCCAATCCCCAAGACCTCAGAATGTGATCATATTTGGAAATTGGGTGAGACTGTTGCTGATGTCATTAGTTAAGATGAGGTCACACTGAAGCGGGGCAGAATCCTAACCCCAGATGACCGATGTCGTTATGAAAAGGGGAAATTGGACTCCGAGATGTGCACACAGGGAGGATGCCACGTGAAGACTGAAGTTACGCTGCCACCAGTGAAGGAAGTCATAGAAGCTGGAGAGAGGCCTGAACAGGTCTTCCCTGGGGACTTCAGAGTGAGCATGGCCCTGCAGCACCTCGATTTCAGACTCAGCCCCCCAAACAATGCAAATAGACTTTTCTGTTGTTCCAAGGCACCCAGGTTGAGGCACCTTGTTATGGCAGCCCAGGAAATGAACGCTGTGACTTTTCAAGGTATTTTAACAAACAGCGAAGGCCTCCAAGGTGGAGTTTATGGTTGTGACCAGGGGGTTCCCTTCTAAGCGTGTCTATTGCTTGTTGGTTTAATGTGTTTTGTTTGCTGGTTTGTTTTGCACCTGGATACACTGGTTATCTGCTGCTCACCTGCCACTGCCAATGAGGAAGTACTCTCTGGTAGGGGTTCTGATGGACATCACCTCATCGGGGTGGCATTTAAACATCTTCTGTACAGACTGCATTTTTTCATGGCTACTTATGCCAATGTCTACGCTGGAGCTTCTGTGAGATAGAGACATAAAGTGTCAAACAGATGCAATTACAAAATTAGGAAGAAACCCAACCAATGTTTGATGTTAGGATTCAAATGGAGTGCAACTCTAGGCTTGCTGGTGCAATGTTTTGAAAATGAGCTAATTGTTTTGGAAAACAAGTTTAGATCTGGGTCCTCAAATACTTGGTTCAGCAAGAAACTTCATCCAAAAGTTCTTATTTTAGTTGGATTCTTAATTCCACAAATTATCATGTTTTCTCAGTTTTTTTGGTACATAATTTCTTAAAGACAATAAAGCCAATCTAAATATCTTTTAAAACCTCTCTTGGCTTTATGAAATGATCATTTCATCTGTTCTTTCCCATCCACAAATTAAGCGCATTAACATCTTGTGTAATTAAATGCTCATTAATTAATAATTTGCCAACTAGAATATATAATATGAAATAATTATTTAGCTATCTTCTATTCAAATGTTCCATTTTAGCTTCTTTTCAGCAACAGATATAAGTGCAAAGCCCTGGCTTCTTTTCTTAATTGATTTTTTTTTGTTAGGTAGAGGAGGGGAGAGGGAGAGAGAGAGAAACATTGATGTGAGACGGTAACATCGGTCTGCTGGCTCCTGCATGCTTCTTACCAGGGATCGAGCCTCCAAACGGGGCACGTGTCCCAGCTGAGAATCAAACCACCAACCCTTTGGTGCACAGGATGATGCCCAGTGAAATGAGCCACGTGGGCCAGGGCAGCTCTTGCTTCTTTCAACAATGATTTAAATATTAATTTGCATGCAATACATTGGCCTTTGTTGTTGCAAGCTTTTCCTCAATTGGATACATACCCATCAATTTTAATGGAACCTCGGTGATGATGGTCTTTGTAATAGGAAAGACGAAAGCCCTTCTCCCCACTCCTTGACAGGATAAAAAATCGCTTTTTCCAAGAGGGCTGAAAAATGAAAATATTTGGCATCTCAGTTAAATCTCAGAAGAAGAGAAAGGGTTGAAAAAATGCTCAGGAGGCTGGTGGGAGGCCTGTTAAAATCCTAGTGAATACTTACAGCCGAAGAGAAAAGCTGAGGAGGTGGTGACTTAATAAAGTAATCTTGTTTGCAGACTTCATTTTCATAATAATATGTAAATTGTTTGCCTAATAAAAGAAAGTGAACAGAACGAAGTTTGTTCCCTGTGAATTTCTGAAAAGAATTGCTTCAAATGGAAAACACTGTTTACTTCTGGAAAAGTCTTCAAATTATTCAGCTATGGGGGGGGGAAACCCATCTATAATCGGTCAGGAAAACAAAGGGCCCAAAGACCAAGCATGTGATTCTGATTCACCCACCTCGGGGACCTTCATTCAGGTGACTTTTAGAAGCACCTTAGTGCAGCTCACACCCATGTGCACCTGAGTTCAGCTCACACCCGTGTGCACCTGAGTGCAGCTCCCACCTGTTGGCCTCTCTGTCTCGGAAGCACTTTGCTGGCTCTCTAGCTGTGAGCAAAGGCTTTCTCCCTTCCTGTGGAAGCACCAGCCACGGGGGCAAGATAATTCTGCTTTACCCTTTGGCTTAACGAACAAAAGCAAAACCACCTGCTGTGGAAAATGAAGTGCAAGGTGGTTACAGGGGTTTCCAAAACATTAAATGCTCCTTTGAAAGTGTTGAAATTATATACACGTTTTGATTTTTTTTCTATATTTTCCAAAATGTCTGCAAGAAATATAAACTACTTTCATTATTTAGGAAACACAACTAATGTTGTTTAAATGAAAAGAAGTTTTTTCAAAAAGAGTTTGGTTTTGCTTTCACATCCAGATGATAGTTCTAGTGTGTCCTTGGTTTTGGAAAAGGCAAAGCAGCCTTCCCTGAAGAATTGGAGCTTTCTTTGCCCAGTGAAAACAGGACCAGGGTTAGGTAAGAGCTGACGGGCCATCACGCTGGTCTTAGGTGGTTCTTGGGCAGCGGTCCTCACCCTCCTGCAGCAATTCTGCCTGCTCTCCCCAAAGCCGCCCTCCCCCGGCCCCCAAAAAGAAAGGAAAAAAACCCCAGAAGGAAACAATATAAAAAATTTCAGCTCCTTTAATAGCTGTGTGGCCTGGGACAGATGAAGGAAATCTTCCCCAGTCTTCTCTGGGCTATAGTTTGTTGTTAGCATCATCTCCAAGCAACAATGGACCATGAAACAAATGGAACAAATCGGCCCACGAAAATCAAAAAATGCCAAGTTTCTAGATAGGTGAGCTCTTACAGAGTAATGAACTGAGTTCAATAGCCTCTGCTACGTTCTCCAAACTGAGACTCGTTGTCCCAGAATGCCACCAATTATCCCCCACTGAAACCATCTTCTGTATCCTGGCTAGATTGATGGGAACTGCTAGCCATTTTCAATAAGAGGATTTTTCCTTCTGAGAGTATGCCCCTTGGGTACCTGGGCTCTTCTGAGGTTTGGGTTCCATGGTGGCTGTCTGTTCTCACCTGTCAAAAAGAAGAATTAAGAGTTGTGAGTCCCCAAACAGCAGTAGGCTTCACTGATGAGCCACCTGATGACCATCAGGTGTCAGGGTGGTGCCCATGAATGTGGATGAGACGGGTCATCTGCCTCCTGCCCCATGCCTNTGAGTCCCCAAACAGCAGTAGGCTTCACTGATGAGCCACCTGATGACCATCAGGTGTCAGGGTGGTGCCCCGGGCCGATGGCAGCCATGGCAACAAGGACCTGTCCAAGCAGTGGTCACCAAATAGCAGGGCTGCGAGGTGTTGCTAGGGTGGCTGCAGAAGCCGTCTTCCCTGGACTTTGTCTGCTCCTGCTGTGACAAGAGAGCCCCTGGGGGGAAGCAACACCGAGAAGGACAGATAGGAGCGGGGCAAGGGCAGGGTGCTATGGACCAAATATAGCTGAGAGAGCATTTCTGGCCGAGAGGCGGCCCAAGATAAGCCCCTCTCCGTGCCAGGGACTCACTTGCTCCGGAGGGAACCTAAGAGCGAGGCCTAGGGCGTGCTCACATTGCCTCAGCACCTGGGTGGCCCGTCCCAAGGCTGCCCGACTCTGGGCACTGAGGCTGACACTGTGAAGCTGACCCGGAGAGGAGACTCCTTTCCAGGACAGCCCTGCCAGCAACCCCGTGACCATTCCGGGCCCCGACACACGGGAATCCCACAGGGTGGAGGGCCTCGGGGAGGGGAGGTCTTTAGAACAGAACATGATGGCCAACTTTTTACCTTGAATTACTCAGCCTCTCACAATAGAAGGAAGCACAGAATAAATAGGGCAGTGCCAGGACAGTCCCAGAAAAGTGGGAGGAGACCAAGGGATTTTTGCCACCCCTGGGCACGGTATCCTTCCTCCCTCCTGATTTCTCTTTTTCTTCTGCATCAACCCATTCTTTCCTCCTGAGGCATAAATAACTCATAGCAATTCCTTGGTTAAAAAAGCCAAGAATCTTTTTTCCTTGATAAAACAATGATTTGTAGAGCCCGCACAGGTTCTAAATGTGTTCGCATGCATTATTGCCTGGGTGTCTCAGAACCGTCCGATGAGATAGCTCGTTTTACAAATGAAAACCTGCATTTGATAGAAGAGCCCGGTGACGTGCTAGGTCTCCCCGCAGAGCCCCACAGCGCCCTACGCCGAGGCTCACTCGGGACACTGCCAACAGCATTCCGCTCCCTGCACACCGTGGATGCAAAGAGAGCCTCGGAGGACATTTCTAGCCTTCCAATGCCCACAGGAGGCTCCACGGCCACGTGTAGGGACCTCTCCTCCCTCTTTTCTCCACCCACCATAAAGGGAGATGACAGTAGGGTGGGCGGGTTAGAGGGCTCACTCTGGAATCTGGGTTTAGATGTCACCTCCATCTGTTTGAGAGATGTCATCTTGGGCACACTGTACCAGCTCTCCATACCCCTGTTTCTGCATTTGTAAAGTGAAAATGATAATATCACCGCCCTCAGAGGATTGCTGTTAGCATCGCTTGAGATAATCTAGCGAATAGCATTCAGTATCTAAAAGGTGCTCAATAAATGCTACTTGTTAGGTTGTTTGCAGTTCAAACATTCTATGATTCTATGATTGTCTAATAATGACTGGTATTTATTGAGTACTTAATACATTCCAGGCATTTCTAAGGAATATTTGTATAATAGATTTCATGTATGTGTATATAATGGATTCCATACATATGTTTACATACACTGAATTTCATGTAATATATAATATATTTCATCTTATATACATACATTCTATATTTTACATATGAAATCTAGTATATGGATACATACATATGAGATTCATTATATACATATATATGCAACGTATTATATCAATGCTTATATGATATAAGCAAACTCATATATATGAAATCTCATTAGATTTACATATAGATCACATAACAATACTATAAAGCTTATACCATTCTTACAATGATACAACACCCATTTTACAGATGAGGACACTCACCAGAGAGATTAAGCAATTGGTCTTTGATCACACAACTAAGAATAAGCAGAGTCAGAATTCTAACTTGAGCATCTCAACCACTTTGCTCTGCCTCCCACCTAAGAAAGAATTAAATCATGTCACAGCTCTGCCTGTATTTCTTGACAGTGCCTCCAAACAAAAAAGCCTTTCAGATTTAGCGCTTTGATCTCACGCAGGAGAATCTACCCACTGTTGTTACCTAACCTGGTCTTTGTAATGTTGTGTGGGATTTGATGAGTGTGACATCGAGAGGTCCTGCTTCCCTCTATACAGAGCAAGAAGGACATGAAGACAGAGCCCACACCAGCGATTTTGATCAGGAAAGCTTCCAGATCAGCACAGCCAGGAAACCCAGACGAGTCACACAGACAGTACTCACCAGAAGCCAGCAGGTCACTGGTTTGGTGCTCAGCAAAGTGCCCTCTCCCTGGGTTTCTTGACTGTGCCCCTGCTCACTCTGTGCTCCGAGTGCCAGGGTGACTAGCAAAGTACACGCTCTATTTGAAATGGGAACCAAGAGGAAGTTCCCAAGCTTCTATCTCAGGGCAAATTTTCCTCTTGCCCCAAGATGAAATGGAAGCTGGTGCTCCAGGGAAAGTCCCTGGGCTTTTAATCATCTTGTGGCTTGGCCCAGAGCTGCAGAGCTGCCCTTGGCATTCCAGCAGTCTAGCAACAAAAGAGGAAGGGAGAAGGGGAAAGAAAGAAAAGAAAAAAAGAAAAGAAGTGTATTTAAAAACAATTCCTGCCAGACTTTGGACTATAGTCACAATGACTTACTGAGAACAGTGCCAGCCCAGCCTTGACCTCCTGCAGTGACTACCATTGAAACAATTCCCTGCCTCCCACCATCCTCCTGGGGATGGCAGGAAGGATTCATTTGGGCTGGGTAAGGAATCAAAAGCCTGGCTTCTCCTTGTTCAAGCCAAGGATCTCCAGGAAGACTTGGTTATTCATCCACAATGCAGTTGTCATCAGCAGGGTGACACTAGGTCGGTTCTCCTGCACAGGTTCCCAACGATCTTAAAAATAAACAAGCTGATGTGACCGGCCCCTCTTAGGCCTGCTGAGTGGTATCTGGCCACCACAGGGCTTTTGGTATATTTTCATTTAAATTACATTTTTGGGGGGACCCTGGTCAGCATGGCTCAGTTGGTTGGAGTGTTGTCCCATGCACTGAAAGGTTGCAGGTTCGATCCCCGGTCGGGGTGTGTGCTGGAGGCAACGGATCAGTGTTTTTTTTTCTCTCTCTCCCCTTCCTCTCTCTTAAAAGAAAAAACCCCAAAAAACCAATAAAAAAAATCAATCCTTTTGGGGGAAAGAGGAAGTGCTAATAAATTTTATCTTCTTTGATCACCTTTAGAAGGCACAAAATTTTAATATTTTTTTTTACTAGGGTAATTGGGTTGGAACCAGCTCCACCTTGGCTAGTTTAAGTTTTCTCATCTGCAAAATGGGGTGGATAGAGTTGAACCCACAGGATCGTTTTTAACAATTAAGTAAGACTTTACATATAAAAACCATGTAGCACAGTGCTCGATCCCGGGTAAGCACTGAACAAAGGTTATTTCCATTTTTCTCTTTCGCACCCTATGCAGGGTGCAGGTGTTATTGGTTCCTTTGTTTAGAAAACAGTTGGATTTCAGACATGCAGGTGGGATTAGGTTATCATTCACTTTCTGCCCAGGACAGGTTGTTTTAGGAGAAATAGTTTCTTGGAATGTATTTCCTTGTATGTTTCTTTCGTTCAATTTTAACTACTCTGGAAATAGTCTTTAGTATTTTTACATTTAGTCTTTGACTAGTTATTTGCTCTAAGTAGTTCATAAAAAGCTTGTGCTGATCTCCACTTAGCTGGGAACTGCAAGGCCTGTCTTCATAACCCGGAGACCTAACCAACACGTGGGACAGAGAAAATCACTTTGACATTGTGTTTCTTTGGAAAGGATATCTATAAACCTGTAAGGCAGACAGATGGACTTCCCATTCATCCATCCATCCATCCATCCATCCATCCATCCATCCATCCATCCATCCGTATGTCCATTCACCCCCAGNGACAGATGGACTTCCCATTCATCCGTCCATCCATCCATCCATCCATCCATCCATCCATCCATCCATCCATCCATCCATCCATCCGTATGTCCATTCACCCACAGTCATTCATTCACTCAGGCCACGTGTTGTAGGTTCTTTGGTCATATTTTCCAAACAGTATTACAAAGCTCTTTGAGGACATTAATTCCTGGCACTTCTGGCCTGTCCTGCATGAAGCAAAGAAGGCCAGAGGGATCCAGAGGGACACGTGGGCACTGGCTCTTGGAGAAAACCCCTGCACTGAAGCGATTAGCGTGAGGGAGGACAGGTGGCCGCACCAGCATGTGCTACAGTCTCCTTTGGGAAAATGTTCTTGTCACTTTTAACTGCAAAGAAGGTCTGTGAAATGTAGTATTTTAGTTGGGCACATTGCTATTTTCATCTCAATCAGGATAAAGAAGTAGAGACAAAAGGTAAACTAAATAATGTCCCCACCCCCAGCCCCACCCAAGCTGTCCACACCCTAAGCCCCAGAATCTACGGATGTGTTGCCTCACATGGCACAAGGGACTTTGCAGATGGGAGTAAATTAAGGATCTTGAGATGGGAGATTCTCCTGGCTTATCCGGGTGGGCCTGATGCAACCACAAGGGTCCTTATGAGAGGGAGGCGGGAAGGCCATACACCCAGAAGGTACCCTCAATTTCCAGCCCTTTCTCACATGCCCACTTCAGATCTGTCAGCAAATCTGCCGGCTCTGCTTAAGATAAAGCCTGCTTCTCACGACCTCCACAGCCACTCTGACCTGTCTGCATCTCACCCCGGCCACTGCTGCAACAGCCTCTCACCTGGGCTCCCTGCTTCTACTCTTTCTGTCTGAATCTATTCTCCAGAGTCTCATCATAGTTTCCTGGGGCCTATCACGTCTCTGCTCAAGTCCCT